TATATTTTAAAAATATTTTAAATTTTAAATATTAAACTTTTAAACAATTTTGTACCTTATTTATGATTAAACAACATTCAAAAACTATTATATTAAAATATATATATTGATTAGAGTTCCAATTCAGATAAATCCATCACCTGTTTATTCATATCTGATTTGTTCAGATATTCATTTACTATTGCTATCTGAATAATCTAACAGATATTCAGATAATTATTCAGATATCAATAGTAAATGGATACAAGTCACTCTCGTTATAGTAAAGTGATCAGGCTGAGAAAAAAACTTCACTATAACTTATATTGAGAGAATATTATATTAAGATCTTTACTATATTGAGAGTTCACTATAATGAGAGTAACTTGTAGTAAATAGATATCTGAATAAATTCAGATCAGATATCTGATAATTATTTAGATAAACGCCAACCAGATTGGAACTTTAATATTAATTACTATACAGATATTTTTTTACATCAAAACTACTCATAATGAACTCAACCATCGGGTACAATAAGGTTTTAAGTTTTACTTAAAAATGAACTTCTGTCTTAAATTCAAATTTCCATTAATCGATTTCAGGTCTTTAATTCTTATTCAAAGAAAAAAACATGAACCTATAAAAAAAAAATAAAAAATTAATAACAATAAAAATATGAAATCTGATATTTATAGTTATGCTAACCCAGTTTACAAACCCAAATCACTATTACCAGTGCCAAATTCTCATTTTCAGATAAAAGCATAAGAGAAAAAGAAACTATTAGTAAAAGAAAAAAAACACCACAATAATTAAAATAAAAAAGGCTGGTACTTATAGTTATGCAAGCAAGTTTACTATTATTATTGATGCCAATGTCTCATTCAAAGAAAATGAAAAAGTTAATAAAATAATAATCACTGATCATCAAAGCCTTAATTGAAAAAATTTGTCTAAATACGTAGTGGGTGCTAATGCTAAGTTATGGTTCATAGATTTTAATGTTTTTTGCAGTGCCTCGGAATTTTGTGTCAGATTCATTGAAACTGAGTAACACTATATAGAAGTCAGACATTAACTTCATTAATAGGCTTTTAGGCTTAATTACTGAAAATTCAAACCAATATTCAGATTGTAAGTACTATCAACTTCTTTTATAAAGAGTTATTTTCTTATATCAGGAATGGATTGCAATAAAGAATATGGTTTCTTGTAACTGAAATAGTGTCTGCATAGATTTCTCCCATACCTGGTTTTGTGCAACTGCATTGTGTAGTTACTTATAATGTTTTATAAGTTCAACAACCAATCAAATGAATCTTCAGATTTAGGTCGCATATTATATGTCTGAGTCTTTATTTCTTCATATGTAATTTAAAAGCAAGCTTTTCTTTGTAAAAACTTCAATTGAATTTCAATAAAGTTAAAGGCATGGCCTCACCATTAATATTAAAAAAAAAAAATCAAATGAATCTTCCACATGGATCTTTCATATGCTACACTACTATTTTATTTTTCATATTGGCAACTGGGCAAATTTGAACATATAAAATTTTATATGTCTATGTCCAAATGTTCAAATAAAATTTTTATTGAACATAGTCTAAATGCAGTATACTTTATATACTTTATTCATTATTATATTTATTAATTAATTGAATAATTGTGACTGTGCTACTAATCAATTAATTGAGTTTTTAATTGTCTTCAGAATTAATTATTTGGTAAGCCTGATATATGTTATATTACAGTATATTATAATAAAATTTATTTAATATATATCTATTATTCATTTTATCATGGTTAGTATCACATGTATCTGTGCAAGCATGCAAAAAATGAATTTGGGAAGTATGATTAATATAGTTGATTGGAAAAATAAACTATGTTCCTTCAGATTTTTGAATATAAAATAGGCATTCCAATATTGAATAAACTGGTTTGCTTTCTGAAACTTTTCAAATTGAATAAAAGCATAACTCTGCTCATTGTTTGCTTCATGCTTAAATATTAGTTTAATTTTAGCATAGGTAATGCCTTTTGAGTTTTCTGATAACTCTATGATATCACCAATATAAAACTTCAATTTAGTAGATTTTTTCTTATTATCAAGAAAAGTGTACATACTATAAATATAAAATTCAAGCTTTTTATTCAATAATGCATATTCAAATCTAAGATATTTTGCATATAATTTGAAGCGGTTACAAAAAAGTGAATGATTTTAATTTAATGCTGCATTTAAATTCATACACTTTAATTTCTTCTTGGTCCATCGATTTTTAAGTTTAATGTCAACAAAGTTCTTATTGTAGCAAGTAACATATACAGTATCTAAAAATGTTTCATATTTATAAAAATAATACAAACCTTATTAAAAAATTTTAATTTACTAGTTAATAGCATCATGGTATGTCCTCAGATAAGTGCTATATTAGGGTTTTTTTAAAAAAAAATTTACTAGTTACCATCTTTTTCATTTTTTTTTTCTTGTAAAATCATTGAGATTAGTGATTTATTGCTAGTAGCATGCCAGTTTAAGAAAATCGTATAAAGATATAGATCTGTAATGAGTTTAGAAAATGTATTGTTACTAAAACTAAATTGGAGATTTTGCCAGCTATCAAAGATATGCCTCAATGCTTGTATCATATTGTAACATCAGGTAAGATCGAGTTCAATCATTTTACAGTTTGTATGTGAAACCATTCCCTTAAAAATCTGATGTACCATTTCTTTTATACTTATGGCAATATTTGTTAATATTGTGAAGTTCTGAGAGTGTTATAAAAGATGTATGTTTACATAAAGATTAGGTAGGTTTGTAAAGCATTCTGAAAATAACTATTTTAAAATAATAATTAGCATATTAAACATTAAATAAAAGGATGAGGTGATTCAAAATTAAAATATTATTTAATATTATATATTTATTTATTCATATAGAATGTTAGTATCATGGTGAAAAACAGTACTTGGCATACTTAGTAAGAGAAATGGAATGAGAATCTATAATATTGAGTAGTTCATCACATTAGTAATGAAAAGAAAAAAATATATATATGATTTGATACTTAGCTTATAAAAAAAGAATGAATTAATTGATTCTTGTGCATATGATGCACGTGATAAATGATTGAAACAATAACTGTCAGAGAAATTCAGGAATTATACAATAGTAGTATTACAAGATAGTATACTGAAGGTAATAAATGATGCAATATATAATATTATACAAGTCAAAGATATTATAATAAATTTAAGAAATATAATATTAGAGATTCAAAATATGATTATATAAGTAGAGAAGATTAATTAAATTTGATTGCTTTTCTCTAAGAAAGAAAAATTAAATAATTGGCAAATTACTTACTCTCATTTATAAACTTTGTATCATTTCAATTGAAGTCATTTGTGCCTAATTTAAATTATAGTTTTAGTGCGAAGTCACTAATTAATCTGCAACACTAACAATTATTTTACCTATTTTGTATCAACTATAAAATTGCTTATTAGACCACACAAATTTAATATCTAGGTTTTCATAACATGAAACTTTTGATCAGACCCAGCTGGCTTTTTTTTTTTTTAATTTTTCATATATAAATTTTATAAAATTTTTGAAAAAATTTTTTTAAAAACCCACCTGGTTATTAAAATATATAAAAAAATTTTTTTATAAGCTTTTAAATTTGGATCTGGTCAGGTTATGAAAACCAATTAATTAATTTTGTATAGCCTTATATACTATAACTTATATTTTATTTAATAGTAATCAATTTTATAAATTAATTAAAACATTAATTTCAAATTGCCTAATAAGTAAACTTATAAAGACTGACTTGAACAAGTAAGTCATGTTCTTTGTTTAATGATTCTTGCAATTCTTGGCAAATAATACTAGTCATCGGCATTGTAAAAGCAAGCTTCAGTGCTTTGGCTTCAGTGGCCCAGAGAGAACATAATTTTGTAACAACTTGTCTTTTACCGAAATTTTCTTGCCATCTTTTTGAAGTTTCAACCTTTATATGTTGAAATTTCAAAAAACATCAAAGTATAAATGGCATTAAAATAGAAACTTTTAATATGTCTGAAAACATGAAACTGTGCCAATGCCTTAATAGGTTAGGCATTCTGCTCCAGTAAGAAGGTTTTTTTATAGCTTTCCAGCTTTTTAGGAAGGCATCTTCACCAATAGTATTAAATATATTAAACATAGCATCTAGCAATGTCTGAGCTTTGCCTCCTATCGAATGATAGATGTCCTGTGGGATTTGTATATGCTAATCCCACATAAGACTATTAAAAGGTCCAGGAGATATTGTCAAACCATATTCAGTAGCAGCTATTATTTATTTACTTTTTCTTGCTGATGTGCAATATCGAGTAATTATTCTTTAGTTTGGTGCTGAAAATGGGCATTCTCTATATAGTTGTAATTTGGACAAGTGAGCTGATCACTTGGAACATTACACTTTTTACAACTATGTTTGGCCCCATGCCTTTTAACATCCACAAGGTCATTACCTTGGGGTAAGCCTGCATTAATACAACTGAGCCCACTTACAATCCAAGCTCTTCTGTATATTGTATTCATAACTATGCCATTTTCTAATTGTTTTATATCTTTGATAACAGGCTTGATAAGATCATCAAACTTGGCTCTGAATAGAATTAAACCAACTAAAAAATGGTTTTTAAGTAATTTCCGAAAAGAGAATGGCATATTGCCAAATTGCAAATATACACCATCTAAAGAATGATATACATTTCTAAATGTTTTGAAATCATCTACGCAAATGTTGAAGAAGATCTTTATTGTTAGCATGGGTTGTGGTAGTGTATTGTACATAATATACTCACAAGGTAACTGATATCTTTTCATAATGTCATGATATTTCTAGTGACCATCAAAATAGTAGACAATTCCTTAATATAAAATTCGTAATTTTCAGGTGTTGGCAGATCACAGAGCCATACAACAACATGTTGATTAATATTTACTGGATTGATAAATATAGAATCACCCTTAACTAGCCATAGCTCTTTATCATCTCTTTAAATGTGCTGAATACTATTGAAACAGTAATTAGGAAGGTTTTTATTTTGCAGAAGCCGGTCAGCTTTTACTTGATATGTCCTATCCACTTCATTAATTACAATGCCATGTATGTGGCATATAAATTCTAAAGATAGTTCTTTATACAAAAAAAAATCTCCAGAATGATAAGTTTCTAATTAGATATAATTATTAACAAAATAAAAAATTTTTATTTTATTAAAATGGTTATCTTAGTAGAAGCCTTAGAGTTAATATATAAATAACTTAAATAAAAAAACACCCTTTGATCTATCGCTATTGACCTGCTAAAAAAACATTTATAGTAATATCTGTCAAAAGCTAACTATTTAACATAGAAACGTCAATGTATAAATTACAAGTAATAAAAGAAAAAAATGCTTGTTACAGCTAATGCTAAAATTTGAAGACTTGATTTGAAATTATTAGTTCTGCTAAAATTCACATATACTCTTTAAATATCAAATCTAGTTTTAAATCCTAACCTAACCTTAAAAAAAATCGAACAAAAACACTATAAAAAATTTTTAAAATTTCATATTAAAGTAGGTCCAAATTTCAGCATCAGCTGCGACAATACTTAATAGCAGTAATCAACTACTTGATTAAATTTTTTTTAATAAAAAACTTTTGAATAATATTAAATACTAACCTCCATTGTTGTATTTTATTTCATGTTCTCCAAAATGCAGAGATTCTTGCCAGAGATCTCTGTGCCAAAATTTACTTTTTTCTTTTTTAGCCACACTAGGTTTAAAATACATTTTGGACACAAGTATCAGATTATTTAGCAAACATTCTAAATGTGCCAAGGGAGATATAACAAATGCTTTTTTAGTAGATGAAAATGTAGATGCTACTTTTTTGTTTGCAAATAGATATATCATGCTGCATTACTTTAAGAATAGGCAGTTTGTGTCTCTATTTGCGAAAGCATCATATATTTGTTAATACATCTTCATTATGAAAATTGGGATGTTTAAAAATTTTAAAAAGATCTTATATGCACTAGTCGCTAAAATAATGACATGTTAAAGTTTGCTTGCTTTATGCAATGTAATACAAAAACAGATTCCAGAATGCTAAATTCAAAAAGGAAACTTTAATAATTGCTACAGTCATCTCTGATTGAAATATGTCTATATTATTAAAATTTTCTTTTTGAATTGGGCACACATTTGTTATACAATGTTACTGTTACTTACCAATTATATGTTTTGTAATCCATACAAATAGCACTGCTGTTGTAAAATTTGGAAAGTACAGTCTATACTCTTTATTATAACCTTTAAATTCTGAAGATTCTTTCTCTAAAATTTCAGTATATATTGGATCTTCATCTGTATCATCAATCAATAGCCTAGGAGTAAAATCTTGAAATAGCTCCTATATAAAAAAAAAGTTATAAATATATATTAATGTTCTATATCTAATACTTTTAATATGCTTATTAACAATAAACCTCATTTGTTAATGTTTCTATTTCAGCTTCTTCATTGATTACTTCATTAGCTTCTTCATAAACTTCTGGTTTTCTGACTATTTCTCTGTTCATTTCATCAGCTTCACTATCGAATTTATCAGCTTCAGCATCAGTTAAAATTGAATTGTGTTCCTAAGAAGAGAAAGTATTCTCTGGAACACCCATATCAACAGAATTTATTATATCAGGCAATTCTTTTATACATCATTTTCTAATGTGTAACTTCAGTATGTTTGCATAGAAATGAGCTATTCTTTTTAATCACTTCATAGTATAAAGTTTGATGTTTTTCTGATGTTTTGTTAAAATTTATTTTGATAATTTTATAATTAAGAATGGTTTATATTTACTTAATTATAATGCATAATCAAAAGGTTAATGATACACATTGAAAGGTTAATAATGTATAATCAAAAGTGATATGCAAATAGTTAGCTACTGTATGCATAATTAAAGTAACATGTAATGATATATAATTTAGCATAAATTATCTGGATATATATATATTAACAAAACACTAAGATATTGATTCTTTTTTCATTATTTTAATAATTTTACAATTAAGAATAATTTATATTTATCATGGTTAATCGAAAGGTTAACAATACATAATCAAAAGGTTAATAATTCGTAATCAAAAGTGGTATGTCATAATGTGTGTAAATTATCTGAATATATATATACTAACGAAGATATTAATTTCATTTTCATTATTTTAATAATTTTATAATTAAGAATAATTTATATTTATATAGTTAATAATGCATGAACAAAAGGTAATCAAAAGTGGTATGTAATGACGTGTAATTTAACATTATTTTAAAATTTATAATTAAGAATAATTTTTATTTATATGGTTAATAATGTGTAATCGAAAAGTTAATAATGCATAATCAAAAATATATGTAATAACATGTAATTTAATATAAATTATCTAGATATATAAACTAATAAAGCACTAAGATATTAATTTCTTTTTCATTAAACCATCATGGCTTCTAACAAGACAACTGTTCATAAGTGAATAAAATAATCTTTTTAAATCTTTTTTACAATATATATCTTTATTAAATGTAGGAGCTTATAGGTGTTACAAGAAGCCAAACTTGTACTACACAACTACCAACAGGAAAAAAAGTACCCATCAAAACTCAAGTGCACAATGCTATAGGTTGTTATTTTATTTAAATTATTTGTACCTATAATTTTATATTCATAAAATGATAATAATATATATAGTGTCAACTTCTAAAGTATCAGATTTACTTCCAAAAAAAAGACAAAATACTCGAATATCATTAAATGAACAGAGAATCGAGCAGCCTAGTCAAGAATTAATGAATGAACAGAAAATCAAGCAGCCTAGTCAAGAATCAACCAATAAACAGATAATTGAGCAGCCTAGTCAAGAATTAATAAATGAACAGAGAATCAAGCAGCCTAGTCAAAAACTAGTGAATAAACAAAGAATCAAGCAGCCTAGTCAAGAATTAACAAATGAACTAAAAATCGAGCAGCTTAGTAAAGAATCAATGAATTAGCAGAGAATCGAAAAGCATAGTCAACAATCGATAAATAAACAGATAGTCAAGCAGCATCATCAAAAATCAACAAATGAACAGAGAGTCGAGGAAATTGTTGATGATGAAGAAAATGAATACTACTTAGATGAAGATAATAATTGTGAAAAGGCATAGGATATGAATTAAGTATATAATTTGAGTTATTCTTATATATCATTAACCATTTTATTTATATTAACTTCTAGGCTCTCCAAATTATGCTATCGATAATGATATATGCATATATTATTTTTATATATTAATCTTAATATATTTTAAAAAATTATAATTACATTTTATTTGTTGTTTAGTTAATAGTTCTAATTCTTTTAAAGTGGAAATCAATAAAGCATCAAATCCTAAAAGGATATTACTTTTGAAACCTATAATCAAAAATTCAGCAAATGAGGTTTCCCTAGCAACATCAATGTATATAAATAAAGCTTCACATATGTGCATAAATAGAGGTAAGAATTATTTGTTATTATAACCTGATTAGAGACCCAGATTATGCGATTTGAAATGCATTGTAGTGTGATGTGATAAATTCAAATTGTGCAATATTTATATAAGGAACCTTATACATATTTATATTGTTCTGACTTTAATTTATTATTACATATTTTTTTTATTAATAATTTTTTTTATTTTCATAAATTTTTGTAACTCAAATTCATAATTATCACATTATATATGGTGCAAATATTATTCGCTTAAAATTCACCATATAATGTTATATAAATGATCTACATTTTATTGCTCTATTATGTGATCAGTGTCTCTAAACCTGATATATAACAAGCTACATATCAATATTAATAATTTTATATATTTAGTAGACAATGAATTTGAAAAGGCACTGTGGATAGCACAACATTCAAGAATTCTAAATTTAGCTAACGATGATTCAAAATGCAATGATGACCCAAGTATCAGATATTAATAACAATGATAAGTTGTTCTTTAATACTAGTCAATCTTGTAATTCTATGCCAAATGTTCCAGAATTAAACCAGATAAAATTTTAATAAGATTTCATTTTGACCTGCCACAATTATTAGTACATAGTAGAGATTTATATGTATGTGCTTCAATTTTAGCATGTGAGAACTCTTTTACAAGATGAGTGCAAAGCACTATTCCTGCATCAAGAAATAACACACCTGAGTTATACAAGAAGTTAATCACTCGAGTGTATAAAATTCCAAAAGCTGATTATCATATGGGAGCATTAGTTAAAGATATTTGTATCTGGTATGACTCATACCACTGTAAATTTTACAATCAATTTCAAAATATGCAGACCAGTTTATCAAATCCCATGATTATTGGTAAGTATATCCATATTTAGTATCTGCTATCTAGAATCTAAAATTGACAATATAAATATAAAAGGTTTAAAATATATACATATAAAGTATAATAAGATAGTAATTAAAATAATTAATTTCAGTGAGGATGAATTATTAGATAGTGAATTATTTACATTTATTAGCAGTGATATATAGAAATAGATACTTAGATTACATCTAAATGCAACTGATCTGGTAATACTAAAAAATGACTTGAGAATGCTTAAAAAGCTTGGAATCTTTGTATGTAAGACAGTTAAGACAGTTATTATTACTATTGATAATAGACAAGATACACAAATTGCAATTCAAGATTGTAATGAATATATACTCGATTTGAAAATTTTAACAGCAATTGGTATAGTGAAATCACTACCAATTAAAAATCTCTTGAGTCAATAAGCAGAATATAGTATAAGCTTCTTTACAAATATATTATATTAAAGTATTAATTAGTTATACATGTAATTTGCAACTCAAAAAGAACTATTGCGTATCATATAAATGAATATAATTGTATAAATTCTAGTCTATAGGGAAAATATTGCTTTTGATATTTTTCCAGTATTTTTTTATTATTATTAACATTTATTTTTATTATTTATTTATTAACATTTATTTTTATTATTTATTTATTTTTATTTTTTTTGTAATATAACCTACACAAATAAATAGACATATTGGTATTATAAGCAACTAATAGTGTAAATGTGAGTTTATTCATACAATACTGTACGTACAAAATATTTTTTGTTTTTATTTAAGTAATAAATTATCAGGAGATAAGTACTGTATATACATAGTTTATTTATAAAAAAATGTATATATTTAATTGCCAATAGAGTTTTTGATTAACCATTTTGTTGTTTCTCTTACACAATAAATTACCAATCTGTAAGTATATGGTTTTGTCAATAGAATTTATTACTTTTTTGCTCTTTCTCTTACATGTTAAGTTACTAGGCATAAGTCTATAGTTTATTTATAAAATAATGTACACATTTGTCATTAGAATTCTCTATTAATATTATTTTCCGATTCTTTTACATATTATCAAATTGCTAGGAGGTAAGCAAATAGTTCATTCATAATATACATGTGACTGAAATATTTCAACCATTTCAGCAACTTGACAAATGCTTAAAAGTAAAGGTATCAATAACTTTGTAAAGATAGTAGAATTCAGTATCATATATGTTAAGCCAGAGCTATAAAAACTTATGCAGGACCCTTTCATATTTTAACTTTTTCAGAATAATTTTTAAATAAAACTTTGAAGTTTCAGCTATATATTAAATATAGATTACCAAAAATCAATTCTGAAAAAGCCAAAATATCAAAGGGTCTTGTATAAGTTTCTGCAGCTCTGGTTTAACATATATAATACTGAATTCTACTACCTTTATAAAGTTATTGATACTTTTACTTATAAGCATTTGTCAAGTTGCCGAAATGGCTGAAATATTTCAGTCATATGTATAATTCATAACATGCATGTCATTCTCTGAAAAACAATCTGACATATTAGGTTAGTGTGGTTGGCTATAGTTTCATTCAATTTTCATCAGGATTTTGTTTGCTGGAAAATGTTGTCAGAAAAATGATAGAGATTCATATATATTCTATCACCAATGGATTTTCATTAAATAATTCTGTTCTTCACTTATGTGATAAATTACCAGAAAGTGTGTATATAGTTTATTCATAAATAATATATTTTAATTATCAATAGAATTATTCCTACATGTTAAATTACCAAGAAGTAAGTATATAGTTATTTATAAAATAATGTCACATTCCATTTCAATAAAATTCTTTATTAACTATTACTTCTCAGTCTTTCACTTGTCAAAACACCAGAGTGTAAATTATCAAGGTTAGTATATAGTATATTCATATAACAATAGTTTATTACTAATAGAATTTTTTATTAAATGTTTTCTTTCTCTTTTAAATGATTAAATATTAATATATATTTATAAATAAAGAATCTACTACATCCTCATTTTGGTACTTCCTAGTATTTTGTTTACTTTCGTAGCTAAGATGTTTTTTATACCTATAACTACTTATTTTACTTCGATAATATTTTGATTATCTATTTTTACTCATGTCAACAGCTAGTCAAATATGAACTGTATGTTATCAAGGTTAATGCAAACTGATCAAAAAAAAATCAAGACTTTTAAACTGACAAGACATGATAGTATTTCCATTAGTATTAACATGCCCAATAATGTTTTTGAATTATTGTTAACCTCATATTATATAAGGTATAAAGTAATTTAGTTTCAAATAGTATATAAGGTTGTAATATTCAACTTTCATATATTCCTCATTTAAAATTTAGGATAGTTATAAAAGAGTCATCTTTTTTTTTGTTTTTTAATACAAACCATAGTGCTATTTTAATTTCCATATGCATTTGAAAATTTACACTAATGTTTGACTGTACTGAGTTAATTTGGTTGAGACAAACTATATTTGTATTAATTATTATTAATTATTTATTTTTGTTTAAAATCGCAAAATAAATAAATGCTTAACTAGGTATGTAATTCTTATTTAACAATAAGGTTATCTGTTAATTTTTAGAGGAAATTGCAGAATTTACAATGTTCAAATTCTTTCCTAATAATCTTTCGAGTATGAAAGGTAATTTTCAGATACCTGTTAAAGTTTTTTTGTGTCAGGTAAGACTTTTTTCAACTTTTATTATTCAATAAGATTCCAAATTTAATTAATAAAAAGTATCATATATTATTAAATAGATTGTTATTCATAAAGAAAGACCAAAGCAGCTTGCAACTGTTGTTATAATAATATTTATTATTGTTATTATCTTTATCATTATTATTATTTTATCATTGATGATATCCTTATTATCATTATCATTATCATTATTATAATCATCAATATTGTCATTATCATAGTTATTATTATTCTTTTTGCAAAATTTTAGATATAAGTATTGTTTGGGTGCAAATGAATTCAAATATAGATAAAAGAATACCTGAAATTGGTCCACATTTCAATATGTCATATTTTGTCTATTCATATTTAATTTATCTCCAGTATAGAACTGAATAAGTACAGATTTTAGTGGTTATTTATCTTATTACAGAATATATTTAAGATGACCTTTTATTTTAATTAGGATAGCTGTGTGACATAGTTGTGCTAAAACCAGGAACATGAAACAATTAGATTTAATCAAAGATATTTCATAAAATAATAAATTTAATGAATCATATAATTACTATCAAGAAAAAACTTCAAACTGGAAATTCAAATTTATTATTATTATTTGCTAGATTTAATTCTAATCATAGATATATATAAATTAGACACATATCATATATGTTTCAGATTATAGTTAAGACTAGTAAATAATAAATAATAAATAATAAATAATAAATTTAAATTTAGGTTTAAGGTTTTCTCTCAGAACACTCATAACACAATCCAATTTTTCTATAATTCTTAAGTATAAAGAGAAAGCTATTTAGGTTTTTATATAATTACAATGAGAATCAGTTTTTTACTGATGTTTTAGCCATAGATCCTGCAACCCAATTAACAAAGATGCTTGTGCTACTACTATAACCATGATGCCTAAACCTAAGGGTTCTCATATTACTAATGCATCTACAAAGCTTAACTAGTAAGCTTCTTTACTACTGTTACAGCAGCCTCGGAGTCTATTGCTACAAAAACAAGGTCTTTGCATCATTACTATAACTATGAAGTCTAATAAATAAGGTTCTTTTATTTTCATTACAG